ACCTAATGTCTCATCTCCTTTCTTTTCTGCATCTACAAATTTTGACAGTTACATAAAGGTAAAATGCTAATTATTTCTGTTTCAGAGTAACAGATTAGCACAGTGATCATGTCCCATCAGTTGGTGATGGTCTTAATTATTTATCTAATCAGAATCATGTATGCAATTTATTTCTCCTGGGAAAAATTTCAAAAACAAATAGAGAAAGCTGTTTTATGTAGCCAAACAAATTCAATGAAATTATATAGTCCCTGAATTTATTTTGGGGTTGAAGTGTACTTTTATGTGGTTATTTTATTATTATGGGTAGTACTTTTGGTCATTACCTTTGTATTATTTTTAAAAGATCTTTTGTGAACTAATATTGCTTCTTTTAGACTTATACACATAAATGCAGGGAGGGCGGGAGGGAGGGAGAAGAGAGAGAGAGAGAGAGACAGAGATCGACAGAGAGAGAGAGATTGAGGCATACAGAGTCCTTAAACAACCAGGTAATTAACAGCCCTATAATTGGAAAGCAACTGAACCCATATCTAAGAAGCAGTATTATAATTGCTTCGTTATTCTCCCCTTCCCTATTTTGTTGCTTTATGCTTACATTTCGAATTTGGTGAATCCGGGAACAACTGTGTTAATTGAGAAAAACTTTCATAGTAAGAGCATTGTAGTATTAAGACACACAGATTGTTAGAAGTGTATTTTTGTGAACTTATTTTGAGAGTGACTATATAGTTCTTGGTGTGTTTTATTTTTATTTTTTTTGGCGCAGATTATATAAACTCATAAGTTTCTACGTACACTTAAAAATTGGAAAATTTTCTTTTCTGTAATTTTATGTGTGTGTTTCTCCTAGCAGATTAAGATAACCACTAACAATATTAAATATTCAGTATATTTTTTTCTCTGATAATGTTACTCAGGCTCTTATTGTTATTAAATCCTTATGATATAGAGGCAGATGTTAAATGCCACTTTTTTTTTAGGATATGCTTCTGTTTCTCTGATCATTTCTATTTTGCTTTAACATCTTTGAGACTATTGAATTGATGATGATTTAAATATAACCTTCAATGAATATAAATAGTTTGTCTTTAGCATCTCAAGGAAATATGCATCTACACCACTGACCAATGCATCAATGCTCCAGAAATGTTTCTCATAGAGTAAACGAGTTGACTACACCATTAAAGTTGTTTTGTAGAGACTTTTTTTTTAATTTTTATTTTTCAGTTACAGTTGGCATACAATACTATATTAATTTCGAGTATACAACATGAGTTGTATACTCGAAATTAATATAGTATTGTATGCCAACTGCAACTGAAAAGTTCAGTTGGCATACAATACTATATTAATAGTTCCTTGAGCATCCTTATAACCAGTGCTTAGACATCTATATAACTCACAATGTGATCACCCCAATAAATCTAGTGCCCCTCTGACATCATACATAGTTATTACAGTGTTATTGGCTATATTTCTTATGCTATTCTTTCTATCTTCATGTTTATTTTATAACTACTAATTTGTACTTAATCTTTTTCCCGTTTTCACCAACCCTCCCACCCCCAACCCCTCCCACCTGGTAACCTTCAAAATGTTCTCTGTCTCTAAGTTTGTTTCTGCTTTTTTGTTTGTTCGCTTATTTTGTTCTTTATAGTCCACATATACGTGCAATCATATGGCATTTGTCTTCCTCTATCTGACTTACTCCACTCAGCATACTACCCTCTAGGTCCATCGTGAAATATATTTTTCCATCCCTTAACTTTTAGTCTCTATGTATCTTTTAATCTGAAGTGAGTCTCTTGTTTTCTTATCCATTCAGCCACCCTACATTTTGATTAGCGAATTTAACTCTTTTTCATTTCAAGTACTCGTTGATAGATATGTAGTTATTGCCATTCTTTATTTAGACTTTGGATACCTATTTTTTTCTTCTTCTTAAAGAAGTCCCTCTAACATTTCCTGTAATACTGGTTTGGTAGTGATGAACTCCTTTAGCTTTTTCTTGTCTGGGAAGCTCTTTGTCTGTCCTTTGATTCTAAATGATAACTTTGCTGGGTATAGTATTCTTGGTTTGTAGGTCCTGGGTTTTCATCACTTTGACTATTTTGTGTCAAGCCCTTCTGGCCTGTAAAGTTTCTGTTGAGAAGTCGGCTGACAGTCTTATAGGTGTTCCCTTGTATGTAACTAATTGCTTTTCTCTTGCTGCTTTTAAGATCCTCTCTTTGAATTTAACCTTTGCCATTTTAATTATGATGTATCTTGGTGGAGGCCTCTTTGGGTTCATCTTGTTTGAGAATCTCTGAACTTCCTGGGCTTGTATGTCTATTTCTCTCACTAGGATAGGGAAGATATTTGTCATTTCTTCAAATATGATTTAAATTCCTTGCTCTCTCCTCTTTTTGGTACTCCTATGATGTGAATGTTGTTACACTTGATATTGTCCCAGAGGCTTCTTAAACTATCTTGATTTTTTTGCATTATTTTTTTCTTGTTGCTATTCTGATTGAGTGTTCTCTGCTACCTCATCCTCTATGTTGCTGATTCTATCCTCCATTTAATCTACTTTATTGATTCTCTCTGATGTACTCTTCATCTCATGTTCTTCATTTCTGACTGGCTCCCTGTTAGGTTTTCCATTTCCATTTTTATTTTATTTTTTTATATCTTTGTTAAAGTTCTCACTGAGTTCATCTACTCTTCCCCTAAGTTCCTTGAGCATCCTTATAACCAGTGTTTTGAACTCTGCATCTGGTGCATGCCTCCATTTTGGTGAATTCTTTTTCTGGAGCTTTGTTCTGTTCTTTCATGTGGAACATGCTTCTTTGTCTCCCCATTTTGGCTGTCTCCCTGTGTCTGTTTCTGTGTATTATGTAGGGCCTCTAAGTCTCCTGGCCTTTGTAGAGTGGCTTTATGTGGTAAGTGTCCTGTGGGGCCGCTTGGCACAGACCTGGGAGGGGCCCAGCTGCAGGCCAGGTTCAGCCACAGCCTGTGTGCCTCTGGGGCCACTTGGTGAGAGTCTTCAAGAAATCCACATATGACTGCCACCCATGCTGGGCTTATGGGTGCCTCAAGGGTCCAAGTCAGAAACCAAGGCTGGCTGCCAAAAGTGCAGGGTGTAGGGCTGCTCAGCAAGAGGTACAGGGCACGGCAAGGCCAGATGCTGCTTCTTTGGGGTTTGTGAGCCTTTGAGAGATATTATGAAAGTTCGCAGTAGGAGCCAAGACAGATTGTTTGTATGGAATAAATCACTAGAAGTGGCTTGGATGGGCCCACAAGTTGGGAGAGGCAGAGTCTCAGGGAACCCCCCTGAACAGAACGACCTGTGTGTTATCCAGGTCGATGGCGCCTGTATCTTCTAGCTGGGATGGGGAGGGCTCAACAAAGGAACAAAAAAGCTTCTGCTTGCACCTCTGTCTGGGAGCAAACTGCTCCTTCAACCATTGCCCTGAAGCCCGACAGCTCAGCGCCTCCCTGAATGTTCCTGGTGCCCTTTGAGCAGCTGCAGTGGCGCTGGAGCTCAGAGTGAGCAAGTCTGTCAGAGAGTAAGGCCGGGAATGGGCCTTTTAAGAGGAAGTCTCCACTTCTCACAGCTCTGCGTCTCACTCAGCCTCAATCTCCACTGGTTTTCACAGCCATTGATTATGGGGACTTCTTTTCTCGGCACTGGTACCCTGGGCTGGGGAGTCCAGTGTGTGGCTGGGACCACTTTTCCTCAGGTTGGAAAGGTGGCTCTGCAGCCAAGATAGCACTCCCGATTCTCAATTGGGACTGGGCCATTTTGTGTCTCCGCCCTTCTGACTATTTTGAGATGACCTGTTATTTGAGGTGACCTAGTTGTAGGGCATTTGCTCAGCCACACCCCTGGCAACTCTGAGTACTAGTTGCTTTGTAATTTCGTTAAATTTTGGTGTAGTCACTAGAGGAGGTGTGCACAGCCTCTACATTCTACGCCATCCTGAGGATTTTAATAAATATTTAACTTGCATCCCAATTTTTGAAAATAGGTTACTCTAAACATAATTTGTTTTATGTTTTTGAGTGATTTTGCTCAGTTGTCGAGTAGGGCTTTTGGTTCTGATTCTCAGTGTTACAGACTCATTGGCTTGCTTTTATTCTTCTGTCTCTTCTCTGTTGTAGCAATGATTGTATCTGCCAAAATGTTCTTAGTTCTACTGATACAAATGTTAGCTTGAGTTTGATATCAATTTTGTTATAGTAATTGCAAACAAACCTCTTTCGTATGAGTAGTTACTAAAACACTCTTCCATGAAATTTCGTGAGTATATGCCAGAAATTTCCTGCATATTACTTTCAAGATTTTTGTTATCTTAAGGATACAAAATATATTTGTGCTTTCCATTTTCTGATTACACTTCATTGAACAAAAGATATATTTATACAACAGAATTCTTTAATAGAATAGCCAAACACTGTTTAAATTCTGTATTTTTAATTCACTGTATATGGATGAAATTTGTTTCATGGCTTAGATTATTTTTGTTTTAGAATATGTATGATATTTTATTTAGAAATATTAGGATAATAATAGCAGTAAAGGTTATTATTGTTACTCTTCTGTTGAGTGCACACCATGTGTCCAGCACTATTTTAAACATTTTATCTCATTTAGTCTTCACAGTACCCTTATGAAAGAAGTACTATTTTATTGCCATTTGTGTACGAATGGATTAGAGACAGAGGATAGGAAAGTCGCCCAGAGCCACACAGGTAACATGTAGTGAAGCACAAATGCAAGCCCAGGCTGTCTTACCTCAGAACAGTCTTCTCGTACATATCACATTTCTTTTGCCGTGAAGTGTTTTAAAGGCACTAAAAGAATTTCTGTTTAGAATGCTGACCCACTGTCACCTTAAATTGTTATTTCTGTTTTTTAATCTTTGAGATCTGACTACCTTTATCCTAACATGTAGTTTTCAGACATTAGTTATCTTTTTTTAAAAAAAAAATAATGCTTTTTTTTGTATTTGTAGATATGCCTCTTCATGTCCGACGAAGCAGTGACCCAGCTTTAGTTGGCCTCTCAACTTCTGTCAGTGATAGCAATTTTTCCTCTGAAGAGCCTTCACGAAAAAACCCCACACGCTGGTCTACAACAGCGGGCTTCCTCAAGCAGAACACTGCCGGTAGCCCTAAAGCCTGTGATAGGAAGGTAACCATTTCTATTTTGTGTCTTCTTGGTATCTTCATGACGGCCCTTTGTGTGTGTGCTTACTGACGTTTACATCAAAGTTCAAATAACTTCCTATTTTTTATTGCCCTTGAATTTTCTGATAAAAGACAAGCTATATATGCTGTGCATTTACTTTCCATTTTTAAATAGAATATATTAATATTATTAAAAATGAAAACTTTCGATATGTAATAGGTTCATATAAAGTCCCTCCTTACCTTTTCTCCTATCCTATCCCTGTTTCTCTTCATGGGAACTCCCTTGTTAGCTTTTCGCATGCTCTCACAGGGGTATTTAACACATGTATAAGCAGATATTCATATTGACTTATGAGGTATATTAAAGAAATATAGCATTATGAACTTTTAAGGATGAAAGTGGACTCTATGGTCATTTAGTTTTAACTACTCAATTGATAATTTTATCTCCAAAAATGAAAGTATACTTTCTAGTCTAGAAATTGATATTTTCTTCTTTGACTTAATTTATTTTAGACTATGACCTAATTTATTTAGTGTAAAGAAGTACACTTTAGTCTATTTAGTCTAGTTTTTTCAAATTGTTTGTTAATGCTTTTTGTTATATATTTCTACAGAACCCTTATTCCATTCTGTTATATCTCTAA